GCTAATTGTAACGGGAACCGTTACAGATGTTCCCCAAACGCTCCCCAACTTCCTTTTGGTGCTTTATTCCCTGTAAGCTTCATTAAATAAGACAAACGCGATACATTTAAGACTTTAAACAAAGTTTTACCAGAAGTATTCAGTTTCAGCATTGCACGCATGCGCATTTGAATGCATGTGCGTAATGACCATATCATCTTGTAGACACTATTGATATATTTTAATATACTAAATATTACAGCATTTAATCCAAAAATATCTTTAATCTAGTGTATTTAGAATTTTACACATTTCACGTGCACGCACGTGCATGCCTGTGCATGATGACCATTCCCTGTTATAGGAGTCTATAATATTTATCTATGTTCTGAATGCCATGCTGTTTGGTTGAAAACCAAGGGAGTTATAACCATTTAAAGTTTCAGCCAAACAGATTGCAGCGCACGTGCATGCGCGTGATTTGATTAAAATTAATATATATGACATTGTAGGATATCCTAAAGCATGCCTATGTTTTAAATTTCAAAGCATTTCGTCAAAAAACAAAAAAGATATTGAGATTTTTGTTTCAGCCAATCAGAGCGAAGCGCACGTTCATGCACGTGCAAGCATGTTCATGATGACCATACCTTCTTCTAGGAGTCCATTATGTTTGTCTATGTTCTAAATTCCATGCTGTTTGGTTGAAAACAAGGGAGTTATAGCCATATAAAGTTTCAGCCAATCAGATTGCAGCGCACGTGCATGCGCGTGATTTGATGAAAATTTTTATATACCATATTGTAGAAAATCCTAAAGCATGCCTAAGTTTTAAATTTCAAAGCATTTCGTCAAAAAACAGAGAAGATTTTGAGATTTTTGTTTCAGCCAATCAGAGCAAAGCGCACGAGCATGCGCGTGAGTTCGTGCTAATTTGACAGTGTCACCTTATCTACACTATTAATATATCCTCATATAATGAGTTTCAAATCATTTCAGTAAAAAATGTAAAAGTTATAGCTATATTAAGTATATCAGTCATTTCACTCATATCACGCGCACGCACGTGCATGCGTATGCGCGCAAAAAGACCTTCGTTCCGCACACCTACACTACACACCTATTAACCCTAAAAAGGTTTTAGCTCAGTTGGGTGAACAGTTTCTGAGAACACTCGCGGACAAAAAAGTCCGGAGAAGAAATAAGAAGAAAAAAAGAATAATAACTAGAGCCGAGCTCGTTGCAAAGCAACGAGTAGGTCTTCCGTCCTGTTTGACCGGAAGTAACTTTCATTTAAAAAAAATAAAGAGTAATGAAGTCCCAAAATGGTTTAATCCTCCAAATCTATGTTAATTATTGCTAAATTAAGTCATTTTTGGCAACTTCCGGTTTGACCGGAAGTGACGTCGACGGACGGAAAATTAAGATTTAAGCTTCCAGTGACATATGATATCCAAAAACCTGTCAAAAACAGCAAAAATATGCAATTTTTGACTACTTCCGGTTTGACCGGAAGTGACGTCGCCGGACGTATTTTGACGACGCCATTAGATAAAGCTTGATATTTTGAACAACTTTGCTTCTTTGACGTATTAAAAAATCTCAATACTTTTCGAGATATAAAGGAAAAACTTTCGGCCCCTTTTGGCCCTTTATGATAGGGGCCAGTCCCTTATCGTTGATATTTTTCAAAAGATCATGACATTCTTCACAACTTTTGTTCTATATGTCTTTACAAAATATTAACGTGTGAAAAGATGCTGCCAAAAATGTGTGAAATTTTTCTAAATTCCCGATAGGTCTTTTTTCGAGCCATAGCGAGCGCCAACGTGCTGCACTTCCGGAGAATAAGAAAGGTGTGTGTCACATCAGCACATGTTGCTCTATCATCGCTGAAAATCTTACGTTTCTATCTGAAAGCACTTTTGAGAAAAATGCTGGACAATGTGACCCTCTAAAAATCACTAAATCGCGGAAATCTCAAAACCAGAAGTGACGTCATCAAAATAAAAAATTAAATATCAGGTTTGATTGATGTTCCATCAGTCCTGAAAGTTTCATGAAAAACGATTGAGCCGTTTCCGAGAAATCGCGTGCACAAAATCGGTAAGAAAAAAAACAATAATAAAAATAGTGGAAAAGAAACCTAAGAATAACAAGAAGGTCTTCCGCTGAAGACGGAAGACCTTAATAAGAAACAGAGTAAAAACAATATGTTCCCCAACTTCGTTTGGGGAACATAATAATAATAATAAGAAACCGAGTAAAAACAATATGTTCCCAAACTCCGTTTGGGGAACATAATAATAATAATAAGAAACAGAGTAAAAACAATATGTTCCCCAACTTCGTTTGGGGAACATAATAAAACAAAAGTTACAGATATCTATATGTTATCACATACATCTTGAAAAAATACACAATTTCACAAACTGGTTGCTGTTGCATTATGGTCAAAATCTTTAAGTAAATTATAATTATACCAGTTAAAATTGTCATTTGTAGAGAGAACATATTTCATTTAACAATTCTATGAAATATTTTTATTTTGCATATGCCTAATAATTCAAGAAAAGTCCATATTTACCGTATATGGTAAAAACATCAACTTTCACTAATTTAAAGTCCCTATTGTCTGATCATCCTCATGATATGGTTGGATTGGCACTCAAGGTGCACTGGGACATTGCACTGGGTGCATCCAAATTTGGTAACCCCTTTCCCTTGTCCAGGAGTCCCAGACAAAGAACACTCGCGACACACTTTATTTTTCTTGTACAGTTTTTTGATGCTGTGTTCCGTTGCTCTTCCCCCACAGTCAACTTTTGGAGCTTCACGACCAGATCTTGTGTCTCCAATCAGGTTTTCAAAAATTTCCTCCACAAAATCCTGGAATATTGGCCACCTGTCCTTGCTCATTTCCGGATGGGTATCCTTTGCAATGATGTAAGCATTATGTGCGGAAACCATCATCAAATAGAAAAATATGGGCCGCCACCATTTCTTGGATCTGTGGTGAAGCATATAATACCCGATCATTTGATCACACAGGTCGACACCTTTCATATATTTCTGGTAATCAGAAAGAAGACGAGGAACTTCCACAATGGTTTCAGCGGCTGCCCGGCGGGTCACTTGGCCAGTGTGTTGCGGATCATGGAAATTTGACAGGACAAGGACTGGCTTGGTGTCCTTCCAAACACAGAAAGTGAGGCTGTCATTTTGAGCCACTTTGTATGCATGTTTTTCAAGATTGATTTTAGCTGGCAAGAGTTCCTTTGGCAGTCCTTTCCTGTTGGATCGTACGGTACCGCAAGCCAAAATTCTACGGACGTGAAGATCCTGAAGTAATTGAGGACTTGTGTAGAAATTGTCCATATACACATTTAAGTTTGTGCCAAACATATGTGTACACAGATCCATAACCACTCTATGTGCAAGACCTTTTTCTGTATTATTTTCTTTACCCGTGTAAAATCTGGAAAGTGTTCATGTACCCTGTGTCACTTTCTGCCATTGTCCAGATTTTTACGCCCCACTTGATAGGTTTGGCTGGAAGATACTGTCGAAAGGCTAGTCGTCCCTTGAACTTGATCATGCTTTCATCTATAGTAACATTTTCATTTATTATACTTTCATGTTAAATACTAAAATCTGATTGGTTTAGACGCAGTTAACAATCCGTTCGATTACCCTGAGCCTTAGCAACACACGTGACAACGGGTAACACAACGGTAATGCTACATGCGTGGAAATTATGCGCGTACGGTTCACCGTAGAATTCTCAAAACGTCAGTTGCGCGTTTGAAAGAACCGGAATTAACTTGACGTCAATAAAAGCTTGCGTCCGATATAGCTTACTTGAAAACAACAAACGACAGACGATACATGCTTGCGAGTGTAGGAAACATGCTTGCGAGCCAGAAATAACGAAACTTTATATGATAAATGACTCTAATTCGAGTATCAAACAAACAATAAGGAGATTAGTGAACCGGTGAGTGTGAAAGCTTTCTATACATGAACGTAAAGACGATCGACGGTTTTTTTTGCTGACGTCCTAAATCAATAAGACATTCAGTATAATAAAATAAATGGTGCCTGTTTCGGAGGGTAACATTTGAAATTGACACCCCTCGGAAAACCATTGTCAACCTCCGCTGACGCGTCGGTTGACAATGGTTTTCCTTGGGGTGTCAATTTCAAATGTTACCCTCCAAAACAGGCACCATTTATATAGTGGCACATAGAGTTCCTTAAACTTTGTGTTCAGAAATTCAATAAACCACCTGATTTTCCAAAGTTTGTCCGGTTGTTCAGGTTGTTGTTCATTGTTTTGAAGATGTAGGTATCTCCAGATTTGGGTAAATCTATCCCTGGGCATAACTCTGCCAAACTGTGATGTTAACACCCACTTTTTGTGGGTAATCTCATTATTCCCATGGCAAAGCAAAGTCCAATGAATGCTTTCAAATCTGCTTTGGTGACCGGCGTCCATTTTGGGGCATAAGGGGGTGGTGGATTTTTGGTCCGTTCTTGTTCCGCATAGGTGTTAGTTTCCTGGACCAGTTTATCCCACATTTCGTCGGTCCAAATCAGTTCAAAATATTGACCAGTAGAAGCTTCTTCTGGATGCTCTATTGTGGAACCGCCTACCTTTTTGTAGCTTGGACGAACGCGGCCAGTAAAATCCTCGGTCACCCAGCGATTTTGAAACCCGAGGAACTCCCCTTCGTCGCCTGAATCTTCATCGAATATATCTAAAATCCAGTCATCTACATCGCCATGTTGTACTTCTCGCTCTATTCCTCCTAATACGTCTCCAATCCCTTCATTTTCTTCTCCTACATCGTCATTATCTGCCTCAATATCACTTCCATCACTGAACTCCGCATCTCTCGTCGCCATTTTGTTTGCATTCGTAGTTTTCAAGCTTCGGTTTCTTTGTTTCAATGGGGATTTTCCCCCTATAAATAGATATCTAGTTTCACTATACAATGCGCATGGGCAGTGGAAATATACTAGATCTTAGTCATACAAAAGTTTTCTTTCATATCCCTTATGTTTCTACAGTACGAAGCATCAAAGTGACGATGTTTGTATACTACCACTGTAGTAGTGCCCCGATCAATAAGGTAGAGTATGACTGCGGTAGTATGCCGACCAGTATGGGTTAAAGGATTACAGAGTCCAGCTTTAAGATAATGAAATCTTATGCCAGCTAAATACAGCTTAATGGTAGAAAATGATAAGCTTAAAGAGGAATGACAATAAGATACAAATTTGATAAGAACATCTTCATTTACATAAGGTAAAGTACCCAATGGTACTGCTATACCACACAAAGTCACAAATGATAAAAAGTGCTGAATGCCCGTGGAATCTGCTCTTGCTGTCTGTTGGCTAATTGCTGCACTCCATAAAGTCTTTATTTCTTCTACATTGTAATCTTGTGGTATGGAAGACAGGCTGTGGCTCGGATGTCCGCCTCCAGAGCTAGTTTGCGAAATTTGTCCATCTGGAAACGAGAAATAGCATCAGCTACAGTATTTAATTTTCCTGGAATGTGTCTAGCATGAACAGTAAAATGAAAACTTGCTGCGATGAAAGTTAATTTTTGCATTAACCTCATGATTGATTTCGTTTTTGAACGCCCTTTATTTATAATTTCGACTGTAGCTAAATTGTCACAATGGAAGAGAATTCTTTTTCTTGACCATTCCTGACCCCACATAACACATGCCATAAGAATGGGGTAGAGTTCGTAAAAAGCCATAGAAGGTTTTTCTCCACTGTGAAACATGTCTGATGGAAAAACGTCTTGAAACCACTTCCCAGCGTAGTATCCCCCAAAAGCAGAGTTGGTTGCATCCGTATATAGTTGCATATCTGCTGCTATTGTTATATTGTCTTCAAGGAAGAAGGCTACACCATTCCATGAAGATAAGAATTTGTACCACATTCCCAAGTCTAACCTACATTCAGCAGTAATTGTCACGTGATGATGAAGTTCCGACACTGTAGTAGATAAAGATATCAGATATGACACGAATGAACGGCCTGGACGTACAACCTGACAGGCAAAATTTAGGTGACCCAATAGACTTGGCAATTGTCGTTTGGTACATGTCTTTCTGTCCAAGAATGAATGTACTGTTTCAAGTATTCGCTGTAGTTTGTCAGTCGGAAGTCTTGCTTCCATCTTATTACTGTCCAAAACTATCCCTAAATACTCTAAGCACTGTGAAGGACGGCTAAAGGTATCCCCAGAATTTGATACATGGTTGTTAGAGTGTTCATTGTTGTTGCTGCTGGAAATTCTGGAGGGTCTACCGTTAGGAAGTCATCAAGGGGATGTAAAATATTGTCAATACCAAATTCATTTTGCGCAATCCAACAGAGAATTGTCGAAAGAGTGTCGAAAATTTTGGGGCTACTTCGTGAACCAAACACCAACCTTGTAAAGTAATAGTATTGATTATCCCATTTAATTCCATGAAACGGCCATAGGCTAGGATGAATTGGTATGAGTTTAAATGCATCTGAAATGTCTACTTTACACATCCAACTGTTTTTTCCTAGCTTTTTAATCAAGTCTATTGCATGATCAATTGTTACTTATGACAAAGAATATTCACTTTTGTCAATAAGGGAGTTGAGACTGGCATGATTATCTTTATTATGCGGAGCAGATAAATCAACAATGTCTTTTCTTTTCAGAATATTTTCCTTCCGCGACCCCTATTGGATTTATTCTGTATATGTCAAAGGGCATGGATGGGTACGGACCGTAAATGAACCCCTTTTGTAACTCTGTTTGAATTATTTGGGAAGTTATTTCTGGTTGTTTCCGAGAAGACAGTAGATTCCTGCATTCATAGGTTTCTGTGGGCAGAGTTCTAAAACCTGTGTAGAAACCAAATCTGAACCCATTCAATAAAATAGTCTACAGTTTGTTTATCTGAGTGGTTAACCAGTAATTTTTCCAACTTGTCTATGTTTACAGGAGTTGTAATGGTCCAAGATTTTAATGATTCCCCTGCTTTGGTGATTTTCCCCGGGGGTTTACCTCGTTTTTAGCTCTACTGGTCAGAGACCAGAAGAGCTTATGCGATAGTAATGCGTCCGTCGTCCGTCCGTCTGTCTGTCTGTCTGTAAACAATTTTTCAAAACGCTACTCCTCCTACAGTTTTGGTCTGATTTTAATATTACTTGGCACACAAGTAGACTACACAAAGATACATAAAATAGTGCATCGGTTTTTGATTTCGATGAATGGTGTTGCCATGGTTACTAAAAATAGAATTTTCTGTGAAATTCCTTTAAAACGCTACTCCTCCTACAATTTTGATCTGATTTCAATATAACTTGGCACACAAGTAGACTACACTAAGATACATAAAATAGTGCATCGGTTTTTGATTTCGATGAACAGTGTTGCCATGGTTACTAAAAATAGAATTTCCTGTGAAATTCCTTTAAAATGCTACTCCTCCTACAGTTTTGCTCTGATTTCGATATAACTTGGCACAAAAGTAGACTACACAAAGATTCATAAAATAGTGCATCAGATTTTGATTTCGATGAACGATGTTGTCATGGTTACTAAAAATAGAATTTTTTTGTGAAATTCCTTTAAAACATTACTCCTCCTACAATTTTGATCTGATTTCAATATGACTTGGCACACAAGTAGACTACATAAAGATACATAAAATAGTGCATCCATTTTTGATTTCAATGAATGGTGTTGTCATGGTTAATAAAAATAGAATTTTCTGTGAAATTCCTTTAAAACTCTACTCCTCCTATAATTTTGATCTGATTTCAATATAACTTGGCACACAAGTAGTCTACACTATTATACATAGAATAGTGCATCAGATTTTGATTTCGATGAACGGTGTTGCCATGGTTACTAAAAAAAGAATTTCCTGTGAAATTCCTTTAAAACGCTGCTCCTCCTACAGTTTCTGATTGCAATATAACTTGGCACACAAGTAGACTACTCTAAGATATATAGAGTAGTTCATCGGTTTTTGATTTTGATGAAAGTGTTGCCATTGTTACTAAAAATAGAAATGTGTGAAATTCCTTTAAAACGCTACTCCTTCTACAGTTTTGGTCTAATAGCAATGGCTTCTTTTCTCATCCTTTGTTATAAGCACAAACCAGTAGAGCTACAGTCTTTGAAAGGCACTCGGATTGTGAATGTCCAGTTTTTTTGCAAGATTTACACACATGTAGATTGTTGCATCGTTTGCTAGTGCGCCCCATATCATTGAAGTTGTTGCATATTTCAAGGCCATCTTTAAATTGTCTTGGTCTGCCATAACTATCGTTGGCTTTCATATTAGTGTACTGTCGGTATGTCTGAGAGTAATATTAAGGTTTGGCCCCTGTCTCGAGGTTTTGGTGACGAAGGGAGCGGTGTGGCTAACGCTGCTACAAAGGGTGCAGGTTATTATGTTCCCCAAACGAAGTTGGGGAACATATTGTTTTTACTCTGTTTCTTATTATTATTATTAAGGTCTTCCGTCTTCACGGAAGACCTTATAGTGATTCTACTGTTTCTTATTATTATTATTCTTATTATTCTTTTTTTTGACAAAATTTTGTGCAGACGATTTCTCGAAAACTATTCAGCAGTTTTTCATGGAACTTTCACAAAATATGTGTCATTATATGAAGTTGTTACATCCGTAGAGAAATTTGAAAAATTCGCTTTTGGTGCCAAGTTATGGACAATTTCCTGATTTTAAAATGCGATTTTGTCGCGCACTTTTATCGAAAATGGCTGAGGATATGCACTGGAGACTTATTGGAGATGATAGATCATGACTTTGTGGTTTGCAGAATCGCCTTTTCGTGCGTCGTCATTACTTCCGGTCGCTACGAGATGCAAATTGAAAAAAATCGTATTTTCTAACTTTTTTGTTTTTCGGTATTTTTCATTCATTTTTGGTATGTAAATAGAAACCCTTCTAATAATGCTTACTATATAATTTGTTTGAATGCTGATAAATCTAAACTCTGGATATTAGCATTCAAAAATCTGAAGCGGGTCCAAAATGGCGGCTGTCTATGTCAACGCCGACATTTCGCAATAGGGGTTTACGGAGGCAGCCGAGCGTTTGCTTGAACGAAAGTAACATAAGAATAAATGAAATGTAAAGGAATACTTGGATTGTTACGTCGTAGTTACGTTGCAGTTCTGTGTCAAACTAACATCTTCTATAATTGGTTTTGGCTGGTTCTCAAGGTAGAAAAAGAAAAGACTAAATGTGTAAATGAAATATCTTTTGTGCACCACGGAAAAACAGATCTTAAATCATACCTATAAATAATACTTTTTCAAAAAAGAATATCAATTATGTCAATATCAATATCAAATATAAATCTCAACCGCTGTTTTTTCTATGCACAATTGTGTCATATTAAACTAATAATAAGACAAAAATAAGAAAACGATTTTTTTTAAAGATCGCTTCATGGACTTTATTTTAGCATTCTTGTCTAAAAGACCTGATTCAAGTTATTGAGCATAAATGATATCTGATTCCTTGACCGTCGTAAACGTAGGGCGAGCCATGTTTTTCGGTGAAACGTTTCAACCTTTCTCGATTAACTAATCGGAATAGTTCACTTTGGGGAAAAACAGGAAATTGAAAAAAAAAATTAAAAATTTATAACCGTTTCATCGCTTTTGTGTTACATGCATATATACAATATGGAATTTATCAAATGTGTTTAATGTAAATATAACTTCTAAACTTCCAAACGTAGGATATAAGAACGTTTTTTTTTAAAATTTCATTGAAGCTATCACACGTATTTAATAGAACATTCCAAAGAAAAGGTGCGAAGATTAACTCGTGGCGTTTGGCGCTAAATTTTGAATAGTGGTCCGCCTTTGTAAATTTTAAGAGAGAAGCACTGTTTCGTGAATCACATATATACAAGTAGATTAAGAGTAGAGGTCACTATTGCATAATATTTTGAGCGTTGGAATTTCATGCTGGCGACTTGCGTTCAATCCCCCTTGTGTGCAAATGTGTGGGGTTTTTTTTCTACATTTTCAGCTTCGTTTCACGTTTTCTTTCCGGAATCGGACGGAAGACCTCTCGTTGCTCGCAACGAGTTTCATATCTAGTTCTTATTATTTTTCTTCCTGGGAAAATTTTGTCCGCGAGTGATCTTGTAAACTACACATCCGACTTAGGTGAAACCTTTTTAGGGTAAGTAGGCATGTTATGTAGATTTGCGGAACGAAGGTCATTTTGCGCGCACGTGCTTGCAAGAGCGTGCACGTGCAACACGTGAAATGACCAATATACTTGAAATTGCCGTAACTTTTATATTTTTCGATGTAATGCTTTGATATTTAGAATATAGAGACATATTATAAATATAGATAAGATGACATTGTCAACATGCCATTTTGCGCGCACGTGCAACACGTGAAATGACCAATATAATGGATATAGCCGTAACTTTTTTATTTTCTGATGAAATCTTTTGAAATTTATAATGTAGGGATATATTAGTAGCGTAGACAAGATGAGATGGTCAAAATACCAAGATGTCACGCGCATGCACGAGCGCTTCGCTCTGATTGGCTGAAACTAAATTCTCAATATCTTTCTTGTTTTTTTGATAAAATCCTTTGAAATTTTGAACATAGTCAAACATTATGAAGATCTACAGCATGATATATAAGAATTATCATAAAAGCATGCGCAAGCACGTGTTCTGCAATCTGATTGGCTGAAACTTTAAATGCCTGTAACTTTCTTGTTTCTCAACAAAACATGATGAAATTTAGAATATGAATAGGTATAATGGATTCCTACGTGATACTACTATGTTTGCATGCACTTGCTTATGCGCAATGCGTAAAATGATCAATATATTTGAAAAACGGTGACATTAATAATTTTATGATTTTTTATTGGTTCTTGGAATATATAAAGAAATGTTAATGATTTAGCAACATGCCATGATCACCTTGCATGTGCAAGCACGTGCTTTTGCGTGCAGTGCGTTAAATGACAAAAAGTTTATATCATTGTAGCTTTTAAAATTCTTTTATGAAATCTTGCAATACTGAGCATATTAAAAAAGTTTTAAAGGAAATTGGCACAAAAAAGGAGTTGGGGAGCGTTTGGGGAACATCTGTAACGGTCCCCGTTACAATTAGAACTAGTTGGTTTTTCATTTGCAAAGATATTGCAAAACAATGTGTTGTTGCGGACAGACCAGTCAACTGGTATATTGTGGTATTTGAGGTACGCTGCAGCCCTAGAACTAAATTGTTTATGATATTCATAGAAAGCTGAGCCGCCATATCTGTTGGCCATGTCAACAATGTCCCTCTCATATAAGTCCAACTCTTGTCGACGTCTGGGGAACGCTTCACACATAGTGTTTTCATATATGCCAAAGGCAATGAACTCTGAGATTGTCAAGGTTTTGTTTAGTCTAGGGTCTATTTAGGTCACCTGAGTAACTCAGGTGACCTATTGCTATCCGTTTTCGTCCGTCGTCGTGTTTTGTGCGTCGTGCGTCGTGTGTTAACATTTGAACATTTTCAGCTTCTTCTCTGAAACCACTGAACCAATTTCAACCAAATTTGGTATACAGCATCTATGGGTGAAGGGGAACAAAAATTGTGAATTTTATGGTCCCCGCCCCCCTGGGGCCTGAGGGGTGGGGCCAAAACCACTAAAATTATTGCAATCTTTAAAAATCTTCTTCTTTACTCCTGGACATCAAGCAGGCAAACTGTTGACATGAATGTAATGAGCATTGAGTCCTCTACCAAAATTGTGAAATTCACGGCCCCAGGGTCAGGGGTTCTAGTGCTAGGGCGGGGCTATATAGATTATATAGTGAAAATGCATGATTTCTTTGAAAATCTTCTTCTCTGCTCCTGGGTATTAAGTAAACTAAGTACATAGTTATGATGAGCAAGAGTGCCTCTTCCAAAATTGTGAATTTTGTGGTCCCAGGGTCAGGGGTTCTGGTGTTAGGGCGGGGCACTATTGGTTATATAGTGAAAATGCATTTATTCTTTGAAAATCTTCTCCTCTGATTTTGGGTATTAAATAAACTAACTAAGTACATAGTTATGATGAGCAAGAGTGCCTCTTCCAAAATTGTGAATTTTGTGGCCCCAGGTTCAGGGGTTCTGGTGTTAGGGCGGGGCTATATAGATTATATAGTGAAAATGCATGATTTCTTTGAAAATCTTCTTCTCTGCTCCTGGGTATTAAGTAAACTAACTAAGTACATAGTTATGATGAGCAAGAGTGCCTCTTCCAAAATTGTGAATTTTGTGGCCCCAGGGTCAGGGGTTCTGGTGTTAGGGTGGGGCACTATTGGTTATATAGTGAAAATGCATTTATTCTTTGAAAATCCTCTCCTCTGATTCTGTGTATTAAATAAACTAACTAAGTACATAGTTATGATGAGCAAGAGTGCCTGTTCCAAAATTGTGAATTTTGTGGCCCCAGGGTTATGGGTTCTGGTGTTAGGGCGGGGCACTATTGGTTGTATAGTGAAAATGCATTAATTCTTTGAAAATCTTCTTCTCTGATTCTGGGTATTAAATAAACTAACTAAGTACATAGTTATGATGAGCAAGAGTGCCTCTTCCAAAATTGTGAATTTTGTGGCCCCAGGGTCAGGGGTTCTGGTGTTAGGGCGAGGCTCTATTGATCATATAGTGAAAATGCATTAATTCTTTGAAAATCTTCTTCTTTGCTCCTGGGTTTTATGCCTATGATCTAAGAATATATATTTATGATGAAGAAAGGTGCATCTAGCAAAATGGTTATTTTTTTATGCCCCCCCCCCCTTCCTGGGTTGGGGGATGGGGTGGTGGTACATAGTCTGAAAATAAAATTAATACTTTGAAATCTGCTCTTAGGTATTAATCTACCATTTTATGATAAAAATTGCAAAATTTTGAAATATGTGGCCTGAAGGTCAGGGGTTCCTTTGGGATGATGTGCACAACTAGTTATAAAGCAGAAGTGCATTTTCTCTATGTTACTCTGATCTACCTTTTGATATTAAGTAAATAGAGTAAGCATGCTAAGTCTATAATTATGATAAGCAATGGTGCCTCTTTCAATATTGTGAATTGCAAATTTCATGGCCTCTGGTTTAAAACAAAAACCAAATTTAATAATTTGAAAGTTGTTGCACAATACTCAGGTGACCTATAAGGCCCGTGGGCCTCTTGTTTCGCTTTGTCAGCTTTGTCGTCGGACGGCCCGGTGTAGTATGGGATGAGGATGGTTGCTAGATTGACATCCTTACCTTCTATAATCTGCTTCCGAAGGTTCGGTGCAATTGTCTCGACGTAAGGCAGTGATTCCACCGCGTATCCATATGTGGTTCTTACTCCCATGGTCCTTGGTGATGCTTGATCAGCCCATGCCGTTATGAGAGTGTAATCTGATTCCCTCGTCTCTCGAGGAGTTCCGCATGATACAGGTGTATCATCATTTCGTGGATTGGTAGTTTGAGCCCCCGACTGGCGTAATTGATCCACGCTTCCTGCAGCCGCTGGTATTGAAGTTTGCGATCGTGCCATTGTGTTTACTCTTTCGGTTAACGAAATCATACTGCTTTGCAGGTTCTGTACGGTCGAAGTAAGGTTCCTTACCATGCCTAATAACTCTGTTCTAACGTCTTGTCCTTGGGTGGTTGAAACCGTTTCTTGCCGCGATTCCTGGGTTCCCGATTCCTGAGATGTTCTCGACTCGTCATTTGTAACAGTTTGTTTATATAACTTCACTAATACACTTCGTCTAGTATTCTGTGGTTGTGTGATTCCTTTTAGTCTCAATTCATCTCTCAGTTTTGAAATGGACCAATTTTCTGGAAGTGAATCGTCATATGATGTCTTCGGTTGTCGATTAACACGAGTGCGATTCCTGATAGGCGGCATTTTTTCACAAGTTTATTACAGCCATGGAAAAGTCACAATAGATTCCGAATATCACAAAATATGTCCACAAAACTATTGGTATCACATGACAAAGTATTAGGAAAACGAAAGTAGAAAGAAACTTTGGATTAAAGGCAAAATAATGACCAATTTAAAGGTACAATACTAAACACTTCGATTACAAAAGACAGACTAAGATAGCGTCCCTTTCCGCACTTCTGATTGGTTCAACTGATCACATGGTATTGTTTATAAACATCCCAGGATCATGTCTACTGATTATGTCAACAATTAAGAAACATAGTTGTGTATAAACAAAAATTACATAAATTTACATAATATTCTTCACAAACACAGGAAAGCCATAAATCATCATATTCATATGGAAGCATCCTCAGGTAGTGTTGATTCATGTTTGTTCAAATCATGACCCCCAGGTGCAGTCACAATAGAGGATCAAAAATTTACAAAGGAATATAGAGGAATATTTCAAAAATTTTTTCTCAAGAATAGCAAAGCCATGATTGTTTACATTATATAGAAGTATCCTCAGGTAGTGTAAATTGAGATTTGTTCATAGCATGATTGACAAGTAGAAGGGGGGGTATACTTTACAGCAATCTATGAAAAATGTAATGATGTTATTTAAGGTACTCCGATCCTTAGCTTGGAAGGATAACTCTTTTAATTTATAATTTAACTGAAAAAGTCTCAAAATGAAGCTTAAAAATTAAATCTTTTCATGCAAAAATAATTTTTCTTTATTTACTGTTTTACAGGAGTGCCGACCCTAATTTGTATGAAAATGAAATAAAAATTTTAAAATGTCTCCACTAAAAATTTTATTTTTATTTCTCCTGCTAATAGCTTATTTATAGTCACTGATAAAATAAAAGAAACATAAACAAATTTTTCACAAGCCTTTCAAACTTGAATTGTCATTGGCTAAGGTAATTATATTCATCTAATCTAGTTTTCAAAACTTGTGAGCATGAAAATCACTGCACAGCATAACAGTTAGCGGTAAAATGTCAAAATAGGAGGGTTAAATTTATTTGTAAATAGACCTAGTTATTTTTGTTAAAAAAGTTACATGTCACATATTAGGAAAAAAATTTCAGATTAATTTTTAATGAATGATTGAATAAAACAAATGAAACTAGATCTTGATCGAATTATGGAAATTGAGATCCTGTCAACCCCTTGTTTTGAGAGTTTTTAATAATATTTTCTTTTATTTGTAATGACAGAACAGAAAGTGGCATGACTGAGGAAATTTGATCCCAACTTTCACTCATTTTATCCTGTTAATGACACATATTGTGATTCAAAAGGGATTTTCGCTTGTAGCAAAATAATGTAAATCAACATATTAATAACAGCTCTTTTTTGTAAAACAATTTTTTAACCACTAGGGAAAAACAAAGCTGCAAATGATAACGTCCGAACAAATATGACCTGTTTTTTTTAAATTCAATTAAATTCAAAGATGTGGAGTAGAACCAGTTTCAACAAATTTTTGAATTCTGCAGTAAAAAGAGTATTGTCATAGTCTATTCTAAATGTATATACTTATGGTTAATACATGTATTTTTATGCCCCACCATGAATATGGCCGGGGCATATAGTGTTTATCATGTCTGTCTTCCATCCTTCTGTCCTTTTGTCTTTCCGTCCTGTCCTTCCGTCACACTTTGTGTTTACATGTAGTTCAGTTCAAAGCTTAGTTTCAAAAAAACTATCCAAGATATTTTCATCAAACTTCACATGCTGATAGATATTGATGAGAGCTATGCAACTGCATCAACATTCTTTGACCTTGACCTTTCCTTTGACCTTGACTCCACTTTTCTTAAATTAGTGTTCAGCTTAGTTTTAAACATAATGTTCAAGATGGTATTATGAAACTTCACATGTTGATACATACTGATGAGCGCTTTGCAACTGCATCACCATTTTTGACCTTGACCTCTCCTTTGACTCCTGTCCTCACTTTTCTCAAATAAGTGCTTTGCTCAGTTTTAAAGATACCATTCAAGTTAGTGTTATCAAACTTCAGTGCTGATACATACTGAAGAGAGCTATTCAACTGCATCAACATTTTGACCTTGACCTTTCCTTTGACCTTTTGACCTCACTTTTCCTAAATCAGTGTCAAACTTCATATGCTGATACATATTGATGTTAGCAATTCAACTGCATCAAAATTTTGGACCTTGACCTTTCATTTGACTTTGACCTCACTTTTATCAAATTGTGTTTAAAACGGTTTTAAAGAAATCATTCGAGATATTTTTTATCAAACTTCATTTGTTCAATATATTTTTAACTTCATATACTGATGATAGCTTTTCAATACGCAAGTTTCGAGATTATTTCCCTTGGTTCGCTCTTTCTTTGAGGAGGGGAGTTTTGTTGCTGCTTAAACAGACATGTGGGACAGATATTTATATATTGGATACATTGCATCATCGATATACTGGTTTATCATAATTACATGCTTGTCAGGATGCACTCTACAACTCGAGAATAACCAAATTAATGTAAAGGTGTCATTTTTTTAAAGCAAAAAAAATCGTAACAAAAAAAAACCCATCAGTGAATGTGAGACTTTACAGACAGGGGAAGAGATATGGACCTCTAATAAATATTGTCATGCTGTCATTCGCAATAAACATAGGCCCAGAAATATATACCAATCCAGACATCCATATTATTATGCCCCCGTAAATGAAGTTTCAGGGGTGCGTAGTTTTTGTCGTGTCCGTCCGTCTGTCTGTCTGTCTGTCTTGAGTACCAACAATTTTGACTTTTTTACCTTGACCTTAGAGATATCTGTACTTATGAAACAACTTTAACCTTGGCCATAACTTTTGAATTGTAAGGGCTAGGGCTTTCATACTTCACATCTTTAATCCTTGTGACAAGACCTTTCATTAATTATCAAGAACCTTGACCCTTTGACCTTGGATTTTGACCTACTTTTAACAAACTTTATCCTTGGCCATAACTTTTGAAGGGTTAGGGCTGGAGCTTTCATACTTCACATATGTAAATCTTGTGAAAGACCTTTCATTGGATATCAACAACTTTGACCCTTCGACCTTGACCTTGGAGTTTGACCTACTTTTTACAAACTTTAACCTTGGCCATAACTTAATTTTAAACAGTTAGGGCCAGCACTTTCATACCTCCCATATGTAATCTTTGAGACAAGGCCTTTCTTTAGAAACCAACAACCTTGACCCTTTGACCTTGACCCTGGAGTCCTACCTTTGAAAACATTAACCCTGGTCATAACCTTTGAACAGGTGGTGCTAGGGTTTTATATTTCACATTTGTATTTCTTGTGAAAAGGCCTTACTTTAGGTACCAACATATTTGATCTGCATTTGAGAAAGCTTAACCTTCGCTATGTTGCCATATGGGGGCATCAGTGTTTCACAAACACATCTTGTTGTTTGTATCATCTGTCCTTAAATACGGTTAGAAATTTATATATTTTGAAATTGTTTACCAATAAAAGTTATGAAAATACTGTAAATTACACCATTAAAATAGAACGAATTATACAGATGTCAAATTATAATTATTATTTATAATCCTGCAAGGAAAGTAATGGTTCTGTTTAAATAAATTCATCATGTGACGCCATCATCCGTCTGTCCGTCCATCTTTAAACTTTTTGCATTTTCAATTTATTCTCAAGATCCACTGGACCAATTTTAACCAAACTTAATACAAAGCATCCTTAGGTGAAGTGGGGTTTATTTTGTTAAAATGAATTTAGGTCCAAGTCCCCTCACAAAGGGAGATATTCAAGAAAAGACAAAAAATAGGATGGGGTCACTAAAATATCTTCTTCTCGATAACCACTTGACCAGAAAAGCTGAAACTTAGTGGAAGCATTTTTTAGCATCTTTTAACATTGAAATATATAGGAAAAATCTTTTAAAATCTTCTTCTCAAGAACCACTGGACCAGAAAAGCTGAAATTTATATGGAACCATTCTTGGGTAGTGTAGATTCTAAATTGTTCAAACCATGATCCCTGGGGGTTGGGTGGGGCCACAATAGAAAATCCAAGTTTTACATTGAAATATATACCGTAAATCTGGAAATTTTTGCTGTAGATAAATTTTTAGCAAATTTGCCAGTTCATTGCACTTGCAAAAATTTTTTCTTAAAAATAATTCAACAATAAGAAAATGTAAACAAAACTGTTCATTCGCAAAATTTTGAAACTTAAAAATTAATCAACAGCATTTGGAGCGGAATTTGCAAAATAAAATCAACGTAAAAATTACCAGATTTATGGTAGGAAAAATCTTTAAAACTCTTCTTCTCAAGAAGCACTGGGCCAGAAAACCTGAAACTTATATGGAAGTATTCTTGGATAGTGTAGGTTCTAAATTGTTCAAACCATGACCCATGGGTATGGGTGGGGCAGCAATAGAGAATCCAAGTTTTGCATTGAAAAATATTGGAAAAGTCTTTAAAACTCGATCTTCTTAAAAAGCACTGTGCCAGAAAACCTGAAACTTATGTGAAATGAAATGAAATGAAAACATGAAATTTCTCTGAAAAGTAATACATTAAATACCTACATTTATGTAGAACGATGCTAAAGTATTAAATTTAAATAATGGCAATGTACAAATACTTCAAGCATGGCCTATTTTGTTATAATGTAAAAGACGACAAATTGTTAATGGTTGGATTATAATCCAAGTCTTTTACAAGACAAGAATTTACAAAAAAATTACTGTAAATCACTTTTTATTCTTGAGAACTTAATTTCTGCTTAATTACGCGAGGCTGTTTGCTTGCGAAAATTTTATTCTCACGTATAATTGTATTATTAATGTTTATATACAACAGAAACCACCGCTCGCGAAAATTTTGTCTCGTTAATAAATACCGAATAGCTAAGTCGCGAAAATAAGGTGTCGTGAAAATATAGTGATTTCTAGTATTTCTAACACGTATTAAAAAAAATAAGCGAAAACATGTTAGAACTACATGTAGGTCTGAGAATTATGAACAGTATTGCAGATATTCAGTTAATTAAATATCTTCAGAGCAAATTAAATTGATAGTGTGATTTTAAATTTTAGAAAAGACCAACTGTGTAAAATGTAATACATTAGAATTTTTTCTACTTTACGTATTCAAAATGGTTAAATTTTTCAAAAAATCTTGAAATTGAATATCACTTCCTGTGTCGACCGGAAGTGAAGGATACAAAATCAAAAGATGCCATGCATAACTCAAAGAGATGTTGTATCATCCCAGAAAATATCGTGATTCAATCTTGAGTGGTTAACCAGAAGATGCTTGGACAAAATGGCAATTAAAAAAAAGAAAATTGGACCAAAAATGTGACCGGAAGTGATTTTTCAAAAAATAAAAAAATGTTCTAGAGATATAACAAGAATGCATCATTCCTGAAAAAATCTTTGAAATCGGTTAAGTAGTTTCCAAGAAATCACGTGTACTATGAAAAGGGAATAATAACTAGAAAGTCTGCTATTGCAAACAATAGCTTATGTCGTCCCGAACTGGACAAAAATTTCATTTTTTTTTCATCACTAAAACAATACCCATTATGGCTAAGCTTGGAAAACCATCAACTCGTATCAGTCCTTTAAGTACTTTCAGTACTTTGATTTAAAAATCAAAGTTAAAGAATTTTCACTTTTACCTGTTTCCATGGAAACTATTGACAATTTGCAATTTTTAAATCCAATGAGCACAATTACAGATACCAATCATTACATAAATAAAATTTCATGAAGAATGTTCAAGGGATCAGAGAGAAAACTCGCGGACAAAATTCGTCGCTTTTTGCAGGTTTCCATGGCAATGGTATCCATTTTGAAACTGAATGATCACACAACACAACTACAACCAGCAATCCTCCTTTGAGGAAAGTTTCAGGAAGATTGTCCCAGCCATCTCCAAGAAACAGCTTGTATAACAAAAACATGCGTACAATCGCAATATGTCGTCCCTGACTTCGTTCGGGACGACATAATAATAATAGGAAACATAAGAAAAACAGTAAGGTCTTCTGAAGGAAGTCGGAAGACCTTAATAAGAAAAAGAAACTTTACAATAATAGAAGGGTCCTCCGCTGAAGACGGAAGACCCTAAAAAGAAACAGAGTAAAAACATGTTCCCCAACTTCGTTTGGGGAACATAATAAATCTGTGATGTAATATCTGTTATAATTAATGCCTACACTACAGGAGATTATAAAAATCAAATATAAGGAATTTAAAAATCATAGTAATCTTTGAATTATGGTTGACATGATTTTCTTGCACTCTAAACTGCATGTTCATGAGAATTGAATATTTCCATTTCTATTCGTTTTCCCAAATAACTCGTTGAAAATTAGTGGAGTTGATTTGATCATTCTACCAGAAGTAAATTTCGCCAATCCATAGGTAAGAAGCTAAGGAGACCTAACATGCTTTGCGTCTGATGCTAAGGAGGTCATACATGTTCTGTGAAATTACTAATTTTCATGGGGGTTAAATTTTCATTGTTTTTAAGGTATGAAGAGACCCATGAATTTATGTCCACCACGAAATGTAATTTTTCACATATATTACTACTGAACAATTCTTCAGCCAAGAAATCAAATCCCCTTGAACCAATATATTTTCCTCAAACCACGAAAAATTTGACCCCTCGAAAATATGTGATTTTACATATAATTTTTGCATAACAGGCGAAGCCTATTGATGCCGTGACATACTTTACTAACTAGACAGTGATTCCTTAAACAATATTTGATGGGTGCTTGACATGCTGTGGCGGGTCACTTTATTTCCTTAAGTGGGGGACACAAATTCTCTGTATTCTTGCTTTCGTCTTAGCCACATTGCTTAGTGAGCAATTTGGCCCATGAGATTATTGTTTTTCAGTCTTCAATATAATGCCTTCACAAAGACACATTTTCTATAAATCAATTTTTAATTTCTTCGTAGATCAGACTGATTATTGGAATGTTAACTTCACCATCACAAAATGTGTCTGCGGAAAATCTTCTTTCCATGATTACAGTTGTAAGGTTTGTATACAAGGGTTTAGCCTTAATTATGACCTAAATTCTTCATACTGCAGCTGATAATGACATAATATGTATTTAAGTCATATAATTATACCCCCGCTCCGAAGGAGAGGGGGATTATACTGTTTTACCCTTGTGTGTCTGTCTGTGTGTCTGTCCATCACAAATTTTCGTCAGTTTTCTCAGCAACTACTTATAGCACATGCTTGAAATTTTAATACAATCTTCTCTGAGGCATGCCATATAGTGGGATTCATTTTTGTTTTAAATCTGATGTCAACTTCCTGTTTATCTGTGCATCTGTCTGTTTCATGCATTACAAGTTTTCGTCGCAGTTTTCTCAGCAACTACTCATTGCAGACGCTTGAAACTTAAACACAATCTTCTCTAAGGCATGCCATATGTTAGGATTCATTATTGTTGAAATCATATGTTAACTTCCTGTTTATCTGTGCATCTGTCCATTTCATGCATTACAAATTTTCATTGCAGTTTACTCAGCCCAAATACAGTTTTAGTCTGATTATGATATAATGTGGCATGCAAGTAGACTACACTAAGAATATAAAGAGACCTAATCAAGGATCATTATTCTATTTACTGCTGTAGTAAAGTTTCAATTCCCAACTGCTACTTTTCTCTTTCTTTGCTACAATTAAAAACCAGTAGAGCTTCAATCTCAACAGAGACTTCTGGTTCATAAAAGTTTCCATATTTATTAGCTCACCTGAGCCGAAGGCTCAAGTGAGCTTTTCTGATCACATTTTGTCCGGCATCCGTCTGTCCGTCTGTCTGTAAACTTTTCACATTTTCAACTTCTTCTCAAGAACCGCTGGGCCAATTTCAACCAAACTTGCCACAAAGTATCCTTGGGTGAAGGGGATTCAAGTTTGTTCAAATGAAGGGCCACGCCCTCATTCAAGGGGAGATAATTGGGAATTAATGAAAATTTGGTAGCATCTTTTAAAAATCTTCTTCTCAAGAACCACAGTGCCAGGAAAGATGAAACTTATGGGGAAACATCCTCAGGGCTGATCCCTAATTTTAGGGGCTGTGCTGGGCCAAACGTCTTTTTTAGAAGTCTTTATTGTTCAATGTCTTTTTACAGATTGTGTAAAATCATTATTTTAGAATGAAAATCTCAATCAAAATCTGATCTCATCTGATCAAGAATCAAACGGAAGACCCACTCGTTGCTCGCAACGAGATTGTATCTAGTTATTATGTTCCCCAAACGGAGTTTGGGAACATATTGTATTTACTCGGTTTCTTATTATTATGTCGTCCCAGACGAAGTCGTCGGGACGACATATTGCGATTGTACGCATGTTTTTTGTCCAGGCGTTTTCTCGAAGATGGCTGGGACAATCTTCCCGAAACTTTCCTCAAAGGACGATCACTGGTTGTGGTGGTGCCATGTGGTCATTCAGTTTCAAAATGGCTACCGTTGCCATGGAAACCTATAAAAAGCGACGAATTTTGACGAATTTTGTCCGCGAGTGTTCTCTCTGGTCCCTTGGACATTCTTCATGAAACTTTGTTGTGGTAATGGTTAGTATATGTAATTGTGCGATTTGCATTTAAAAATTGCAAATTGTCAATAGTTTCCATGGAAACAGGGACAAAGTGAAAATTCTTTAACTTTGATTTTAAATCAAAGTACTGAAAGTACTGAAAGGACTGATACGAGTTGATGGTTTTCCAAGCTTAGCTATAATGGGTTTTGATTTAGTGATGACAAAAAATGAAAGTCTTCTCTAATTTGGGACGACATAAGCTATTGCTTGCAATAGCAAACTTTCTAGTTAAGGTCTTCCGTCATGGAAGACCTTATAGTGATTCTACTGTTTCTTCTTCTTATTATTATTAAGGTCTTCCGTCTTCACGGAAGACCTTATAGTGATTCTATTGTTTCTTATTATTATTATTATTCTTATTTTTTTGACTTTCTAATTTTGTGCACGCGATTTCTCAAAGACTACTGGATAAAATTACATGAAATTTTCAGGACAGATGTGTTGTTACATGAATTTAGTATATCTGAGAGAAAATTTTGAAACTCACTTCCGGTGCCAAGTTACGGACAATTTTCTGAAATTAAAATGACATTTTGTCCACGATTAAACTCAAAAACGGTAAAAGATATCAATAACTTTCAGGGATTATAGATCGTGATATATACCATCCAGGACGCGACCTTTTGTTAGTCGTCGGTACTTCCTGTCGTTAGGAGAAGCGAATTGAAAAAATCGTATTTTCTAACTTTTTTGTTTTTCAATATTTTTTATTTATTTTTGGAATATTAATAGAGACCCTTCTATTTATGTTTACTATATAAGTTGTTTAAATATTGGTTAATCTGAACTCTAGATATTAATATTTGAAAATCTGAAGCGGGTCCAAGATGGCGTCTGCCTCTGTCAACTCCGCCATTTCGCGAGTAGGGGTTTATGGAGGCAGCTGAGCGTTTGAATAAACCATTCTGACGTAAGGATACATGAAATGTAAAAAACTACTTCGACTTTCACGTAGTAGTACGTTGTAATTACGTGTCAATCTTAAAACTTAATTTCCGTTTCACTGCTTTAGTTTAACTGGGCTAGATACGATATGTAAATAAATGTGTACAATGTGTTAAATATACCTTCTTAATGTCGAAATAAAATAAAGGCGATAAGAATGTTTTATTTATTTAATTTCATTGAAGCTATAACACCTATTTAACAGATCAGTCCAAAGAAAAGGCGCGAATATTTACTCGTGGCGTTTGGCGCGAAATTATCAATAGTGGCCCGCCTTTTATAATTCTTAGACAGGTGTACTGTTGCAAATGTATACACAAGTATATTTAGAGCAGTGCTCCCAACAGCTTAATGGTTTGCGCGTTAATAGATCACGTAGCAATTAGGGCCCCGCAAGGATTTGCGGGTGCCCTATAGTTATCACTCTGTCTGTCCGTCCGTCTGTCTGTCTGTCTGTCTGTCTGTCTGTCCGTCTGTCACTCTTCCGTCCACAAATTTTCTGTTTTTTTCTAATAACTTTTTTTATGGTTGCCCAATCAAGTTTAAATTTGGTATGGTAGTTTAATAGGCAGAAATACATATTTTGATGCTAAGTTTGATTCTCTATGTCTTCTAGTTTGGAGCTGGGGTGGTGGGGTAGATTCCTTAACTATGCATAAGAATGAACGGGCAACTTTTTTTATGGTTACCCAATTAAGATCAAATTTGGTACGGTAGTTCAGTAGGCAAAAATACATATTTTGATGCTAAGTTTGGTTCTCTATGTCCCTTGGTTTGGAGCTGGGGTGGTGGGGTAGATTCCTTAACTTTATATAAGAATGCATTGGCAAAGAGAGATAACTGCTGAAGATGTTCCCATTCAGTAAACTGAATGCTACTATGAGTCCCATGGGATTAATTAATGGGCCCTGAAGAAAATCCAGAGCATTATCTTTATCTGTCACATTGAGATTAATTACCACCTCTGTCTGCAAATGAAGTTTGTTTTGAAGTTAAATCAATTTGGAATGCTATGAACACTCTGAAATGTGGATTTAAATATAAATTTTTATTATTTATTTTTGTTTGATAGTTATGATTTCATTGAATCCTAAAAAAAGAAATAGATTAAAGAAGATTTTTTGATTTACCAGGGTACTTTTTTTTCACTTTTTTTCCTTTTTTTTTTTAAATATATTAATTCAAGAATGTTTTTAATTTTTAATGTAGTTGTATAAAAACCCCATTCTATCATTAATACTGAAAAAGTTCTTATTGTAACTTTAGAAGAAAATGATGAGAGAGGTACAATTAATCCCTTGGGATTAATTATCTAGCCTGCTGCAGAAAATTTAGTAGGCTTCTCTTTATCTGTCACTTTAAGATTAATGAAAACCTTTGTCTGCAACTGCTGTTTGTTTGAAGTTAAGGTCAAGCCTTCATGATATTTGCATTCATTGAAGGCTGGCATTTTATATAACACAAGATTCATAATTGTTTAAATATAAATTCAATGTTAAGTTGTTCTTTACTGCCTAATGTAAATACAAGAATATTATTTTCAGGTTTTCGAATATTCAGGAATTATGTTGAAATTTTAAGAATACAGTTGCTGTTGCGTTTTCTTTGTACATTTATTAATCATTCTGTAAGCTGCACCCTTTTAATTCTACCCCATGGCGGGGCCCTTGCTGACTGGTCAGTTTTCTAGTTACGTTACAATTCTGTGTCAAACTAAAGATTTATTCCAGGGTCTTCTCAAACGTCTTCTGTAACTGGTTTTGGTTGGTTCTCAAAGTAGAAAAAGAAAAGACTGAATGTGCAAATGAGAGATACCTATCATCATTTGCTTTGCAAGATGGAAAAACAGATCTTAAATCATAGTTAAGTTATAGTTTTTCAAGAAACAATATCGATGCATGTATATAGTAAGTATAAAATGTATAACCACTGTTTTTCCCATGCACACTTGTGTGATATTAAACGAATAGAAAAGACAAAAATAAGAAAACCATTTTAATAAGATCGTCTAATGTAGTTTAAATTAACATTCTTTTCTCAAAGATCTGAATCAAGTTATTGAACATAAATGGTATCTGATTCCCTGACTGTCGTAGAGCGAGGCATGTTTTTCGGCGAAACATTTCAACCTTTTTATGAAAGTGTAACTAATCGGTATAGTTCACTTCTGAGACGGAAATAAAAAAATTTAAATTATAGTCATTTCACTGCTTTTGTGTTACTTTTCTATAGAATGTGTACGGTGTGTTAAATATATTTTCTAAACCTCGAAATGTAGGCTATGAGAACGTTCTTTTTTCTTAATTTCATTGAAGCTATCACACCTATTTAATAGATCAGTCCAAAGAAAAGGCGCGAAGATTTAACGTGGCGTTTGGCGCGAAATTATGAATAATGGCCCGTCTTTTATAATTCTTAGACAGGTGTACTGTAGCAAAAGTATACACAAGTACATTTAGAGCAGTACTCTCAATAGCG